ATATATTTATCTATATAAATATATGGATATTTATATATTATTATATTTAAAATGATCATGGAATTAATTCCATGACAATCTTTGGTGCATCATGTTCATCTGTGACACACTTGGAATGACAGTACAGGTCAGTGAGTGTGTAATAATGAGGCTGGAGACAGAGCAGCTCTGTTCAGGATCAATTAGGGCAGAAATGCTTGTGCATTACACGCATGTACAGACACACTATTGCATATGCACACACATTCCTGTCAAAGTTTTAAGCAACAACATGATACCCATGTCAGTTTGAGCTCACACTTTGAGACAGAGCTTTTGGGACTGATCAAAGTAAAGAATCTAACTCTGTCAGGTTACTTCTTACAACTGACTAGATGATGACACCAGGTAATTTAAGTGAAGCCAATATTCTGGATGCTAGTGCAATCAGTACAAGTATTTGTGTTCAGCTGACTAGCAGTCACAGCTATTCATGGCTCATTTCAGTGGAATCTTGTTGAAGAGCAGCACATTATTTCTGCTCTAAATTGGCATCTCTACCTTCTGTCCCGCATTTGGCTTCAAAAAAGAAAAGCTTTGGTTCATGCTGTGCTCCTAGAAACATGTTCCTCTGTCTTTGATAAAGAAAGTGGAAAAAGCTTTGCTTTAAAGCAGAAAATAAATGATAGTAAAAACAGCATAGGCAGGACAAGATCAAGCACTTAAAACACACTTGGTTAAAATTCTGCTCAGAACTTCTCTCCTTTTTAGTTTGATATTGGATTACACCAGACTCAGGTTGATAGACATTCAAATCAGCTTTCAATCAACTTTATTGACTAAGTGTGGTCGCAACAACCTGGAGCTGAACACACAGAAAACAGTGGAAATGACATTGGACTTTAGGAGTAGCCCCCTACCCTATCTCTTCTCACTATACTCAGTAGCACTGTATCAGCAGTGGAGACCTACGAATTCCTCAGTTCCACATTCTCCCAGGACTTGAAATGGTCATTCAAGATCAGCACAATCACCAAGAAGGCACAGCACAGGATGAACTTCCTGCACCAGCTCAGGAAGTACAGTGGGTATGGAAAGTATTCAGACCCCCTTAAATTTTTCACTCTTTGTTATATTGCAGCCATATGCTAAAATCATTTAAGTTCATTTTTTTCCTCATTAATGTACACACAGCACCCCATATTGACAGAAAAACACAGAATTTTTGACATTTTATTAAAAAGGAAAAACTGAAATATCACATGGTCATAAGTATTCAGACCCTTTGCTCAGTATTTAGTAGAAGCACCCTTTTGAGCTAATACAGCCATGAGTCTTTTTGGGAATGATGCAACAAGTTTTCACACCTGCATTTGGGGATCCTCTGCCATTCCTCCTTGCAGATCCTCTCCAGTTCTGTAAGGTTGGATGGTAAACGTTGGTGGACAGCCATTTTCAGGTCTCTCCAGAGATGCTCAATGGGGTTTAAGTCAGGGCTCGGGCTGGGC